GAGAGCAAGGTAGCTGAACTAGATAGAGCCTGGAAGCCCTCGGTAAAGAGGCCCTCTCACCACTCTTTGGTTAAACGGTGCGTAACAGCGAGCACTTTTCCTTTCCTTGGAGAATGGGAGGCGAAGCAGTAGACTGCAGCTACCCCGACGGTTATGCAGCGAAGAAGACTGACCTCTTCCTGTGGTGTTTGCTTGGAATGCTGACTGCATCAGGAAACTGAACTGAACATTTCCTTTGTCAGAAAATATCTTTTACTTTACTTTGAAGTTTGGCAACCTTCATGTTAACGTTGAAGCAAAACCATTGTGTCAGGATTCAAACAAACGTTTAGAAAGCAAACATGATGTCTCTCTTGTACAACCTGCTTTCCGTTGGGTATTTAAAGGATGTACTTCCACATTTGCTACAGTAAGATCCTGTTACAAAAACTACCCTATACATAATTATTTTCTATAGTTAAAGCATTTTCTGAATCCTAACCCTTGGTCTATAGAGGTCTCCTTTTTCTGGTCTGGGATATAATGGATCTCAAATATGGATTACTTCGATTTCTGTCTCCTTAATAAGCACCTTGTTACCAATTTTTTTTAAATAGAGGGCTGTTTACATTTTGGGCCAGACTATCAGCCAGGTGTGGACTCAATTATAATTCTAATTTGTCATGCACCTCTTTTCACCTCAGCTGAACTCTCTGTATAACCTCTGAACTCTCAAATTGCACAGTAAATTCACAAAAAATACAGGAATTTGGAAGAAGTTGTCTATGGAGGAGAGTTAAAGAAGGGCTTCTCGGCCAGGCCTGGTGGCTCACGCCTGTAATCAATCCCAGCACTGGGAGGCCGAGGCAGGCAGATCACGTGAGGTCAGGAGTTTGACACCAGCCTGGCTAACATGGTGAAACCCCAATTCTACTAGAAATACAAAAAAATAGGGCATGGTGGCATGCACCTGTAATCCCAGCTACTTGGGAGGCTGAAGCAGGAGAATTGCTTAAACCCTGAGAGGTGGAGGTTGTGGTGAGCTGAAATGGCGCCGTTATACTGCAGCTTGGGCAACAAGAGTGAAACTCCATCTCGGACAAAAAAAAAAGGGGGGCTTCTTTGCTCTTTTCCTTGAATGTTTAAAACCCTTTTCAGGCCGGGTATGGTGGCTTACACATACAATCCCAGCACTTTGGGAGGCCAAGGTGGGTGGATCACCGAAGGTCAGGAGTTTGAGACCAGCCTGGCCAACACAGTGAAACCCTCTCTCCACAAAAATTAGCCAGGCATGATGGTGGGTACCTGTAACCCCAGCTACTCAGGAGCCTGAGGCAGAAGAATGCTTGAACCTGGGAGGCAGAGGTTGCAGTGAGTCAAGATCATGTCACTGCACTCCAGCCTGGGTGACAGAGCGAGACTCCATCTCAAAAAATCCCTTTTCATTTGCTGTTGCAGAGAGGTTGAGAATGGCTTTGGTCAGCTCAATTCTGTAGACTATAAATGTGATATATAGCCAAAACGACTGGTTTGCTTTGTTTCGTTTTGAGACAGTCTTGCTCCGTCGCCCAGGCTGGAGTGCAGTAATACAAGCACAACTTACCACAGGCTTGACCTGTGCTCAAGTGATTCTCCTGCCTCATCCCCTCATCTTCCTGCATGACTGGGATCGCAGGAGGATGCCGCCGTGCCTGGCTTTTTTGATTTTTTGTAGAGACAGTATTTCACTTTGTTGCCCAGGCTGGTCTCAAATTCCTGGGCTCATGCGATCCTTCTGCCTTGGCCTCCCAAAGTGCTGGGATTACAGGCATGAGCTGCTGCGCCTGACCTAAACATAGTTTTTAATCTGATTTCAATTATAACCAAATAGTTGCATTTCCTATGTAGTTGTTAAGCTTCCAAATTCTCAGGTCTACACTGTGTTGGTTAACTTTATTGTTTAAGTATTAATGAATTCTATTTCATAGATTTCCATGAAGAGAAATTTCTTTCTTTACCTTCTTTGTAGTATGTGTAAAATAATGAAGAACACTGGCGTATTAGCATGCAATTTGGATATAATGTGCCAACAAAGATTTTTAGTTTCTCAGGTTTAAATTTTACTATTAGTTCCCTTTGACTTCTTTTTGTTTTTTGGTTGTTCCAAGAGGTAGCAGTTGAGTGAAAACATTTCATCTAAGCCTTTGACAGAACAAACACCTTGTGGAATATCCATTTCTTCACAGGAATTAAAACATCATTGTAAGAAAGTGGTTAAGAAGCACAAAGCCAGGCATGGTAGTTGTGAAAATGGCAAGATAAACATCATAGCCACCATTTCACAGGATACTTAGTCCCTACCTAGACTGTGTACTAAGCACATTCAGATATTTAATACCCACAATCTTTTGAGTTTATTACTCCCTTTTTACAGACAAAACTGAGGCTCCAAGAAACACTTGCTCAGGTTTACCCAGCCAGCATGAGATGGAGCCTGAATTTGAAGCGTCATCTGACCATTGGGGATGCTATGAAGGTTTCACTGGTTCCCCACACTGGCCAGACAAAAGGACCAGTGCAGCCAGGACGGCCTGTTTTCTATGCGATGTCAGCTTTTTAAGGACTCTCCACTTTGTATAATGCCCACCTACCTTTTTATTTTTTAAGAGATGGGATCTCAAACTTCTAGGCTCAAACGATTGTCCTGCCTCTGCCTCCTGAGTAGCTGAGACTGCAGGCATGGGCCACTGTGCCCAGCTTGTATACTGCCCTTTGACAAGTCACCATCTCTGAGCTCATGCCCAGTGGAGTTAAAGCAACTTCCCCATGTCTTCCCAAATGGGTGAGGAGCCTATTGTTATCAACAAGATAACTATTTGCATTTGTGGATAGATGATCGTTCATCCTGTGGAACTGTGGCAACATAAGCATCGCAGCAGGTGTTAATATCCCAGACCTCTGAGCCCTAAAATGTGAGCAGCGCAATTCACCTCCTCCACTGAGTGCAAAAGATGTTCTCGTGCATTTCCAGATACATTCCAGGAGGATGGGACTGCCCCAAGGCGAGAGCTACTGAATCTGAAAATAGGAGACACTATAACGTTCAGCCAGCCCTCCATCTGTATCAGCAGGTTCCACATCAGGGATTCAGCCAACCATGGGTCAGAAATACACTACTGAACATAGACTTTTTTTTCTTATTATCCCCTAACAATACAGCACAGCCACTTTACATAGCATTCACATTGTATTAGGTATTGCAAGTAATCAACAGATGAATTAAAGTATACAGGAGGGTGTGTGTGTAGGTTATATGCAAACACTACATCATTTTGTATCAGGGACTTGAACATCCTCAGATTTAGTTACGTTTAGGAGATCCTGGAACCATTTCCCCCTGAATGTCAAGGGACGACTGTATAGCCTCACCTATCGAAAAAAAATAACCATCAAACTTACGTCTTATTTGGGTGATGTATGAATCACTCCAAGGATGTAAGTTCTTTTTTGACTGAAAAGACTCTACTACCCACTGGCTGGGTGACGTTGAACAAGGTAGCTAAACTCATGGAGCCTCAGTTTCATCCAACAATGGGAATTAAGCTTGCTGAGATTAATAATTAAGCTTGCTGAGATTAATAATTAAGCTTGCTGAGATCGGTAGGCCCTAGTGCGGAGGCAAGTGTTCCTTCCTGGGCTTTCCTCAGCATCTCCTGTCCGGAGCTGCCCTCACCTGTCCACTTAGCTCAGAGGACATGGTGAGATTATGGCCTAATTTACCTGCCACAAGTTTAAGGAGCAAAGCTGTGTAAAGCAATGAAGTCAGTGGGGAAAGGTGGTGGAGTCCCAGCTTTAGTGTCATTATCTTTGATGGCGCAAATGGAGAGACAGTTGCTAGTCCCCTGAGTGGGCAGTTTTCCAACTTTGTAATGGATAATTTTTCTTCATATTGGAGCTTAAACCCATTTGTTTTTTTCTAAATGTGAAATATACGTCTTGAATATTTTGGAGTATTTTGTACATTATACCCGCTGAGGGGAATCTGACATTATTTGGAGCAAATCAACCAACTCAAGTTCTGGCCTCTCAAAGCTTATTCCACATATATTAAAAAAAAAAAACCCAACTTCAAAAGTTATCCTTATATATTTATGATGGTATCTTTTTTGTGTGATGATATCTTTTTTTTTTTGAGTGCAGTGGTGCTGCAACCTCCGTCTCCTGGGTTCAAGGAATTCTCCTGCCTCAACCTCCCCAGCAGCTGGGATTACAGGTGTGTGCCACCATGCCCAGGTAATTTTTTGTATTTTTAGTAGAAACGGGTTTTCACCATGTTGGCCAGGCTGGTCTCAAACTCCTGACCTCAAATGATCTGCCCCCCTTGGCCTCCCAAAGTGCTGGGATTACAGGCCTGAGCCACCGCGGCCGGCCTGTGATGGTATCTTAACCACTGTAAAATTGTTTCAGAGCCTTGAGCCACCAGCCAAGGTTAAAACTGGGGAAACAGAAATCAGGGTTTTAGACACTGCAAGGTTGCAACTTATTAAGCAACAGCATGAACCCCCAAATTCTGTCTGATTGGTTCCTGGCTTCTATCACGTAAAGTGAAAGCCAAGGTTCCCCCCGCTGCCTTCTATGGCCTGGGATGGGAGCTAAGGCTTTGCCTCTGTCCAGGGTTTCTATCTTCTTGAAGCCAGAATTATGGAGCCTGGGGGAGGGGAGTCAGAGCTCTACCCTGTGTCCATTCTAATCAGAGCTTCTGTACCTGCCCAGTGGAAGAAAGACCTATTCCTCCAAATCCCAGACTTCCCCTAGTCCACTGATATGGCGTCTTTCACCTTTAGATTTGTATACACCTAACACTCCACGAACTGTGTGCTGGCAAGAGGTGTTCTCCTAGAAGCAGCAGCTGAATGAGCACACCCCTTCCTGCTAGAAAGGGCCGTCTGCCACCCCTGGATAATCCTACTCTTCTCTTCCCTTAGTTCTGGCACTCAGTGCCAGCCCAGCTACTGGTCATAGAATGGATAAGTGAATGAATTAATGAATGCAGCACAGTTTTACTGCAACTGGTGGCAAGACATCCAAAAAGAAAGCTGAAAAGAAACAAACACATTTACCCACAGAATTGAAGCTCACTTCCCAATTTTTTTTTTTTTTTTTTTTTTTAGCAATCCATAGTAGGAAGAGCAGCTCAAAAAAAATGTGCACTGAGTTTGAAGCAGCTCCAGTGGGAAATACAACTTGCTATTTGGGCCAGTCAGGTTCCTGGACCCTATTGTACCACCCTTTGGCACAGCTTGCTGGGTAGCTCTGTGGTCAGAACTGCTTCTCTGCCCTTCCATGATGTCACACTCACACCTGGAGGTCGAGGTGGTTCCACTTCTCGCAGTCCTTCAAGCTTTTAGTTAGTTTTTTTTTTTTAAATTGTTCCCAGAATCAAACACATGGCCTAACCAATCCCTGGATTGTAAAATAAACAACACTACAAAGGAAGACAATACCAAATGAGGCTCCGCAGTCACCATGCCCAGCAGCAACCGAGAAAGGCTTGGTTTCTTGTCTGGGAACAGCGCTCACCCTACACCCCAAAGGAACTGCTTGGTCCAAAAAATGGAGAAGATGAGCAACAGAGTGACGCTGAGGATGACAGCCATCAGGTAGGCAAAGATGCGGAACTGAGGGTTGCGGAAACACTCCCTTGGGGAGTAGTGGCTGGGGATGGGGATGGGCGTAGGCACGGTGGCAGAGGCTGTGTCCGGGGGTGGCCCTGGCTGGCCCCCAGACTGGGGGCCAAGGTCCAGCGTGTAGACTCGAGGCTGGCGCAGGAAGTAGCGGCTCTTGGGCTGGTCCTTGAGGCAGAGCTGACGGCCTTCCAGGATGACATGGTGGGGCTCCAGGCGGAGCAGGGTGAGCATGGCAGTGTCCGTGGGCAAGTCAGTGACGGGCTGCCCTGAGGCCAGCACCGTGGGCTGGCGACAGAGCGGGCACAGCAGGCGGCGCCGGGCCGGGGTCACCAGGCTGAGGTGGGCCAGGCATTCCACGCAGAAGGAGTGGCAGCAATCCAGCATTTTGGGGGTATGGAATGTGTTGTTGAAGGGGTTCCAGCAGACAGGGCACTCAGCCTCGAGCTCCCGGCCCTGCTGCTCAGCCATCCTCAGACACACGCGGGGAGGCCTCGTGGGAGTCGTCCTGGCAGAAGGGGGAAAGGAACAAAGGAACAGCCATGAAACCCCGTCCCTGTGCTTGGCCTGGAGCGAAGTGTTTTGTGGGTGTTGAAAGGTGTAATCACTCAGGTTTTACTTAGGTTCAAAAGCGTTTTGTTCTCGATCACCAGTTCCTAAGCCATTGAGTTGAGTCTAATGCTCCTCCAGCCTCCCCTCTGTCAAGGGGAAAGCCTGGGCCACCCCTACTAAGAGCCCCCAAGTGAGCCGGCATTGAAGGAAACAGCGCCCCCAGCTTCGGGCTTTGGAGCTGAACGCAAATGCTCCTTATGGTCAGTGTGTGTGCCCGTGGCTGCCCTGAATCCAGGGAGCTGGGGATAAGCTGCGAATTTTGCTAGAGAAAGGAAACAAATGTTTCCTTCCCTGCTACCTCAAATCCCTGACTAGCACAGAGATGGGTTTTATGAATTCCCTGGTCTGTCCCTCCTATGGGGACAAATGCCAGGCCCTCTTTCCCTCCTCCCCTTGAGCTAGAGGGCCAACCCTCCAGAGTCTACTCACCCAATCTGTGGCCTGGCAAGGAGGCCCCTGGTAAGGCCTTTCTCCTCACCTAGAAGTCTTGCAGAAGCTTCCCTGCCCCAGTCCCCAGATTAGCCCTTCCAGAGCCTCTTCCCATCCTCTGCCTCCCCTGGCTCCTCCTCCCTCCCTTTGTCCTGGGAGCCCTTCAGGGCACGCACCTGGGCTTCTGTGGCCTCCAGGATGGCAGGCAGAGTACTCTGGAGGGCCTGAGGCTCCAGACACTCCCTCCCCTGAATAAGCAAAGCTTTGGGAGACTGCCTTCTTGCCACCAAGCCAGGAGCCTGTCTCCATGGCAGCACACACGCAGCACCTGGGGCTGCCAAGTGGCCCAGTCTGCAGCCTCTTGAGCACACCTGTGTGGAGCTAAGGCCCAAGAGCTTCCTGGGGGGCAGGGTGGGGAGGGAGATGGTGGACCTGAGTTCCCCCAGGGCATGGCAACTAATTGAACCTGGAAGCCAAGCACCCACAAGATTGTAGGCCCTCCCTTCAAGACCTGGAATCCCTGGTCTGGAAAGGTAGGGTGGCAATTTCCTCTTTCTAGATGTGAAAAGGGTAAGTGAGTCTTCTGGGCTTCCTCTCTCTGGGGCCTTCATTTCTCTTGGAAAGTGGGTGGAACCTCCTCCTTGCACAAAGGGGCTGCCCACTCAGCACTTTGTTTGATGTGAAAGTTACTTACTTCAGAGCTTAAGAGCTCCGACTATCAGATTCAGTCCAGTCACCTGCTGATCTTTTAATGTACCTAAGTAACCGCAAGCAGCGTGCACAAGCCCTGCTGCGGTCTGCTTGTTCTTAGCACACAGCCGATCAGCCTGCTGAGATCTTAGAGCTGGCCATCCCTTCAACCTTAGGGAGTTCAAGGGAGGAGTTGGAGGGAGGCGCACTCCAGCCTTGCTTCTCCGCTTCAAACAGAAACACCTGGCTTTTCTCTGCTTCTCTACGGGTCATTTGAATAATTTGAAGAACTGAGCTGCTAGAGAAAAGAAAATGTTTAAAAACCAATTCTCCATCTGAACTACTTGCTTTGCAGATGAGAAACAAGAAGTGACTCACGCAAAGTCACCCAGCTAGTTAATGGTGACATGGAACCCATGTCTTCAGACTCACAGTCTTCGTAAAGACAGAAGGCTGCACCCGTGCCGTCCGCCTACTCAGTGTGTGTTGCTAGCTAGATAGCAAGTGTTTGCATGTTATCAGGAATCCCTTATGGCCAGGAGACTCGTGGTAGAAATCCAGGAGCTAGGCAAGAGGGGATCTGGGGAAAGGGAGTCTCCCTGGAGCCCCTGATATGACATCATCTACCCCGACTGAGTGGCTTCCTGGTTTTCTTCTAGACCCCTGGTACTGCTCCAAACAGGGAAGGAGGAAATGAAGAGAGGCGGAGGGAGATGGAGCCCTAAGTGAAACTAGGGTAGTTTGCCAGGCTCTGCACCAGGGCTTTATTCTGTGGTCCATTCATCCACTCGATCATTACTGAGTGCTTACTCTAGCCCAGGTGCTGTGCAAAGTATTATTGGGTATCATGGTGAACAAAATAGACATTGTCTTTGACCTCATGACACTTAGAGTATAGTGAGGCAAAGAGACATTTAATGAATAATGGGCAATAAATAAATACACTTTTTTTTTTTTTTTGAGATGGAGTCTCACTCTGTCATTCAGGCTGCAGTGATCTCGATTCATTGCAACCTCTGCCTCCCGGGTTCAAGCAATTCTCCTGCCTCAGCCTCCCAAGTAGCTAGGACTACAGGCACCCGCCACCACGTCCGGCTAATTTTTTGTGTTTTTAGTAGAGACGGGCTTTCACCAAATACACGGTTTTAATGGCTGTTAATAAAGGGCAAAAAGGAAAATGGGCTTGAGGTGTTTGGTGGCTGCTCCTGATGAGACGACCAGGGAAGATTTCTGCAAAGAGGTGACAGAAGAGCTGAGACCAAAGTATAAAAGAATCTAGCACGCAGAGTGGAGGAAGAGCGTTGCAGGCCTGGGGAACAGCAGGTGTGGCCCCGAGGTGAGAAAAGCTCTGCCAATTTGAGAAAGTGAAAGGAGACCAGGTGATCAAAGTGTGGTGGCTGGAGCCGGGGTAGGCAAGGTGGGGAGGGGTAGGACGCGGGACCTGTGAGCTCAGGAGCTCGTCTGGATTTTATTCCAGGGGTGAGTGGCAGGGTAAGGTACCTGATCCTATTTCCATTTTTTTTTTTTTTTTTGAGAGGGAGTCTTGCTCTGTCGCCTAGGCTGGAGTGCAATGGCACAATCTCGGCTCACTGCAACCTCCACCTCCTGGGTTCAAGCAATTCTCCTGCCTCAGCCTCCTGAGTAGCTGGGATTACAGGTGCCCACCACCAAACCCGGCTAATTTTTGTATTTTTTGTAGAGATGGAGTTTCACCGTGTTGGTCAGGCTGGTCTCAAACTCCTGACCTCGTGATCTGCCCACTTCAGCCTCTCAAAGTGCTAGGATTACAGGCATGAGCCATTGCACCCAGCCCCTATTTCCATTTTTAAAACACCATTGTAGCTACAGAGCAGAGGACAGACTGAGAGGGACAAGCTTGGGAAGGGAGGACCCACTCGGACTCTGTCGGATGTGTGGCGGTGCCAGTGCAGGTCAGGTGGTGGTGGAGAAGGTAAAAGGGGATGAGGTAAGTGACATCTTTGGGGACAGAATCAAAGCCACTTCCCAAGAAGCAGTGGAGTTCTTAGGATCGAGATTGTACTTTCTGGAGCCAGGTTGTCAAGGTTCATGACAACAGATCCATGGCTTTTTAGGGCTGTGATTCCAGTTGAATTGCTTGACCTCTCTGTGCCTCTATTTTTTCCATATGAAAAGGAAGCCAAAAGTAGTAAAGCTTTTAGTTAGAGCCCAGCACCCAGTAAAGACTACAAAGTGATGCATTGGCTGGGCACAGTGGCTCACGCCTGTAATCCCAGCACTTTGGGAGGCTGAGGCAGGTGCATCACCCAAGGTTGGGAGTTTGAGACCAGCCTGGGCAACACGGAGAAACCCCGTCTCTACTAAAAATACAAAAAATTGCTGGCAGGTGCCTGTAATCCCAGCTACTCAGGAGGCTGAGGCAGGAGAATGACTTGAAACTGGGAGGCGCCATTTCACCCCAGCCTCGGCAACAAGAGCAAAACTCCATCTCAAAAAAAAAAAGAAAAAAAAAGCCAACAATGCATCACCTAACAATGGGAATATGTTCTGAAAAATGCATCGTTGTATGAACATCACAGAGCGTATTTACACAAACCTAGATGGTAGCGTCTACCTAGGCAATATGGTCCAGCCTATTGCTCCTACGCTACAAACTCATACAGCATATCATGTTCTGAATACTGTAGGCAATTGTAACACAATGGAAAATATTTGTGTATTTCAACATAAACTTAGAAAATGCACAGTAAATATATGGTATTATAATCTTATGTGGCCACCATCATATATGTAGTCCGTTGTTGACCAGAACGTTGTTATGGATATATGAGGCAGCTGGGATTATTAATGTAAATAGATTTGAGAGAGAGGAAGGGTCAAGGTTGACTTCAAAGCCATGACAAAGTTTTCTGCATCAAGTTTCGAGGAGCACCTGAATTCCAGAGAGTGGCAGAAACAGACCTTTAATACTTATTGGAAGCCTTAAACTATATGTAGCCCCAACTCATCAACTCCCTCACTGGGAACGGATTCCATGGAAATCATCAAGGACTTCTGCAAAGATGTGATTACAGAGATTCCCATCGGGGCCCTGATTTAATAGTGACCTATGGAGAACTGCTTTATCATCCAGTAATAGGACATTGATTAAGTAGATTCTGCTCCATCCATAGAAAGAAACATTATGCACCCTTTAAAATGATGTGATAAAACTATTAATATGGATATATGCCTAGGATATAACATCATTAAGCAAAAAGAACCAGCAACAAAACCATATTACAATGTAATCCAATTTTCAAAACCGTGTGCACCATGGGAAAAATGTCTGGAAAGATAAACAACCAACTATTAGCAGTGGTTATCTCTGGGGGCAAGATTAGACTTTGGTTTTTAATTTTTAATTCTTTTACCTGAAAATTCTAGCTTTACTCCGATAAGCTTGTATTACTACAAGTAAAGATCTCCTGTTTCCCCCCACATCAGATCTACATTCTCTGAAGTTCCACAGCCAGAGCTGTAAAGGGCTGTCCAAGCGGAGGAAGGATCATTATTCCCTGGGCCTTTATCTGTGCTGCTCCCCCAGGGGTCCACTGTTGTTTCGGGATCAGCTGGGTTGAGGCTCTGGCCACGCACCAACCCCACCCCACATCAGGACATCTCAGCTACAGTAAACCCTAAACACTGCCCCAAAGTCATCTCCTTGGTCTAAGAACAAGTCATCACCAAATATCAATTGTCCCAAGCGTCACTCCAATGTTTTCAGCCAAGAATTGGCATTTGCATAGCACTTCACAGTTTAGCCCTTGCTAAAATCTAAGCGTGATGATCCATTTGATAGGTGACTTGCCTTTTAGGATTTTTTTGTTGTGTTTGCAGAAGGCCATTTGATCCTCTAAAACCACCCTGTGAGAGAGGCTGAGTGGGGAGTAGAAAGCAGGCTGGCTTTGGAACCAGATTTGGAACCATTTGTCTTGGACAAATGCCTTAACCTCTCTGAACTTCATTTTCCTCTGTAAAAAAGGCTAATAATCCCACTCCTCCAGAGTTGCTCTGTGGAAGGAATAGTCTATAAGGTGCCCAGCAGAATACAGAAGGCGCTGAATACAGACCTACATGATTATTTTTAGATCCATTTTCTAGATGGGGAAGCCAAGGCTCAGAGGATGAGGCGACTTGCCAAAGGCTTCCCAGCTAGAGTGGCTGAGTTGAAAGATGAACCCAGGAGCCTGCCGTCCCAGGCCAGAGTTCACCTGCCGCACACTGCTGCAGCTCAGGACCCTGGGGCCTGGTGACCCGCCCCTCTGCGACCCTCTCTGGCTACTTACCTGCCCCCTCAGAGCTGCAGCCTCCTCCACCCGTCCATGCAGCCCTGCACACATGAGCTTTGTTTTCTGACTTCCCAGGCCCGATTTCCAGGCAGCGTGGGTGGGTCTCATTTGCATAGGTCCTAGCAGGCTTGGCCAGCTCTGGCTGTTTCAGGTTTTCTTCTTCCTTCTGGTGACTTTGGACTCCCTGCACACCCTGGAGGCTTTGGTTGCTTTGTCTTCCTCCTGTGAGTCACTCTGGCTTTTGCTCCGAGGGGGTCGAAGTGCACTCATCCTTGCAGGCTTCTGTTCTGGATGGGTTGATCCCCTGCCATCCCCTCCGGTTCCACTTGCCCTCTGTGGCTGACCCGCCTCGACTCCTGGCTTCTGCCCAGATGGATCCTTCCCCCCGCTGAGCCCCTGCAACCAAAATACAAACGGCTCTAACAACAGTGGCCATTAATACAGCAGAAAAAATAGCTGGAGAGAGGCAGTTGAGCATCCGCCAGGGTTCTCAAGCCAGGCATACTTCTAGGTCAGAGTTCAGTCCTCACTGAGAGTCCAAACTCCGCTTAACTAGCGATGGAGACTTGAAATCAGTTAACTTCTGGCAGCCTCAGTTTCCTCACCTGAAAATGGCCATAATAACCTACCTACTCAATCTGCAGATTAACAAGGTGATACGTATCGGGATCATATAATAACACAGTGCCTGGCACACAGTAATTCAGTAAACATTAACCAGAACTATTACTGTTATATGACCAGTCTGTTCATGTGGCCCACCTTTTGTTCTCATTCAAATTCTTTTTGTACCTATGGTCCTCTTCTTTTCTCTCCTCTCCTCTCTTCTCTCTCTTTCTCTCTTTCTTTCTTTGACATGGTCTTGCTCTGTAACCAAGGCTGGAGTGCAGTGGAGCGATATTGACACACTGCAACCTCCACCTCCCAACTTCCAGCGATTCTCCTGCCTCAGCCTCTGGAGTAGCTGGGACTACAGGCACCCAACACCACACTCAGCTAATTTTTATATTTTCAGTAGCGATGGGGTTTCACCGTGTTGGCCAGAACAGTCTCGAACTCCTGACCTTAGGTGATCTGCCCACCTTGACCTCCCAGAAGTGCTGGGATTACAGGCGTGAGCCACCGTGCCTGGTCCCTTATTTCTTTACTGACATATTCAGCAGTGCTTGAGAAATAAACAAGTAAATAAACGTATCTGCTTGGTGATGTAATCAAAAGCCCCAGTCCCCTCATTTTGTGTTTTTTTCACACTAATTTTTATGTATTTAATTTGAGACAGTCTCACTCTGTCATCCAGGCTGGAGTGCAGTGGCATGATCACAGCTCACTGCAGCCTCAACCTCCTGGGCTTAAGCAATTCTCCCACCTCCGCCTCCTGAGTTCCTGAGACTACAGGTGCATGCCACTGTGGCTGGCTAATTTTTGTATTTCTTGTAGAGATGGAGTTTCTCCACATTGCCGAGGCTGGTCTCAAACACCTGGGCTCCAGCAATCCACCTACCAAAAGTGCTAGGATTACACTTGAGCCACCACGCCCAAATTTGATTTTTAAGTAGGTAATATATTTACATGGTTGAGCATGTGAATGGTTTGATTTCATAGTGAAAACTTTCTCTTCCCAGCCACCTGGTTTCCCTGGAAATCTAAGTCTTATACCATCAGTTTGTTGTGTATCTTTCCAAAGATGTTTTATGCATGCACAAACAGCATTTCCATGGCAAAACATCTGTGCATTCCTTTTCTTCCTTTTCACACAAATGTGTGTTATATACGCTTTTCTGCATTTTCGTTTTTTCATTTGATGATGTATTTGAGATATCATTCTACATTAGTACATAAAGACCTTCTTCAGTTTTTGGCTGGGCGTGCTGGCTCACACCTGTAATCTGAGCACTTTGGGAGGCGAAGGTGGGTGGATCACCTGAGGTCAGAAGTTGGAGACCAGCCTGGCCAACATGGTGAAACTCCGTCTCTACTAAAAATACAAAATTTGACTGGGCATGGTGGCAGTCTCCTGTAATCCCAGCTACTCGGGAGGCTGAGGCAGGAGAATCGCTTGAAACCAGCAGATGGAGGTTGCAGTGAGCTGAGATCACACCATTGCACTCCAGCCCCGGTGACAGTGTGAGATTTCCTATCAAAGGAAAAAAAAAAGGCTGGGCACAGTGGCTCACGCCTATAATTCCTGCACTTTGGGAGGCCGAGGCGGGTGGATCATCTGAGGTCAGGAGTTTTTGACCAGCTTAGCCAACATGGTGAAACTCTGTCTCTAAAAACAAAAAACAAACAAACAAATTAGCCAGCGTCGTGGCACATACCTACAGTCCCAGCTACTCGGGAGGCTGAGGCAGGAGAATCACTTGAACCAAGGAGGCAGAGGTTGCAGTAAGCTGAGATTGTGTCACTGCATTGCACTTTAGCCTGGGCAATAGAGTGAGACTCTGTCTCAAAAAGAAAAAAAAAAAAAAGACCTTCTTCGATTTTTGAATGGTTGTATCCAATTTCACCACATGGCTATACCATAAATCACTTCACCAATCCCCTATTGATCTAATCCCCTCATTTTAAATATATAAATATTGAATGGAAGAGTAAATGCAAAAATGATTGCTGATTTTAAGTTAGTCTAGAATTGTGTGAAAATAAAACTGAGGACTTTGGGAAGTTTTAGATCTCTAAAGAAAATGTCTAAGTAATTCTCTTTCTAAACTAGAGACAAGAGGCATATGATCGCTGATGACCTCGAAGTTCCTCTCAGCTCTGGAATTCCCTGCTTTTTGGTGTCACTACTGATTAACTGAGGTTAGTGGGGTTTTGAGACACTGATTTAGACCAAAGAAACTGGTTTGGTATTTGAGCGTTTGGAAGTCATGCTTTCTGGCTTGGCAACATAAGAAAACATTAAAAAGTTCATCTACTTTGACCTAATAATATAATTCCCCAGAAGTAACAAAAAGATATATTTTGGTTGAGTGAGGACATTCATTGTAGTTTTATTTTAATCACAAATGATTGAAAACACTCCGAAACCCCATTAATTAAGTGGAAAACTACATAATCATTTAAAATGATGATGTAGAAAGATTTTCATTGACTTGTAAAAATGGTCACAGTATACTGTAAATGAAGGGGAAGCAGTTTAAAAATGGTGTCTGTAGGCGTGGCTCACACTATAATCCCAGTACCTTGGGAGGCCAAGGTGGGAGGCTTGCTTGAGCCCGGGAGTTCAAGACCAGCAACATCACTGCTTAAAAAAAAAAGAAAAAAAATAGCTGGGCATGGTGGCACATGCCTGTTATCTTAGGAGGCCGAGGTGGGAGGATCACTTGTGCCCAGGAGGTCAAGGCTACAGTGAGCCCAGATTGCACCACTACATTCTAGCCTAGGCAACAAAGCAAGACCCTATGAAAGAAAGAAAAGAAGAAAAGGAGAGGGAAAAGGAAGGAAGGAAGGGAGGGAGGGAAGGAGGAAGGGAGGAAAAGGGGAAGGAGAGGGAAGGGAAGGGAAGAGGAAGGGTAAGGAAGGAAGGAAGGAAGGAAAGGAAAAGAGAATATGTAGCATAAACCAGATTTTATAAAGCATAATTTATGTGTAAAGACTGCAAGGCCTTGAGGCAAAATGTTACAATGGTTATCTCTGGGTGATAGCCACTCACGTTTTCACTTTCTTCTTGCTTGTATTTTCTAAGTTCTCAAACAAATATGTATTACTTTTGTAGTGAGAAAGTTCACTAAGAAAGTAAGTTAAGTCTGAGTTTTCTGCAACGAGGGTATCCAGAACTTAAAAAGATAAGCAAGTAGGGCAGGTAAGAAGTCAGTCATGACATTGTAAGCATTGAAATAAAAATAAAACAAGTCATGGCCTTTTTCAGGGTCACTAATTGTCTAGTGAGTCAATGCATTATCACAATGTCTGTGGGTGGTCAGGCTAAGTAGTGCTTTCCGAACAGTGGAAAATTTTTCCAGGGAGATACCCAGGAGAGATAGTGAGGCATCTCAGGAATTTGAAAGTTAAACTAATTTATTAAGTTCAAGCTTGTAGGGGCAAGGTCAGCCAGCCGGAAAAGCATCTCACCTAAGCACTACCTTAGACCCGGGTGAGTGAAGAGTCATGAGACTCTGTGGAGCCCAGCCAAGGTCTGGAGCAGAGGCGTGGGGTGGTTTTAACCCATCTGGGAAGGAAGAGGTGGTGGGAGGCAGAAGGATGGAGAAAAGGTGATGACTGCAGCAGGTTTAGAATCCAAGATGGTTAGTGTTTAGCAAGCCCCAGTCAAGGGCAGAGGGCAACTCTCCCTAGGAGGCCACCATGTCTTCATCACTCAGAACCTTGCCTGAGGCTTGTCTAGCATTTAGGACAGTTCCAGCAACACAGGCATCACTTAGAGATTGTTAGAAACGCAAAATCTGGCCAAGTTCGGTGGCTCACGCCTGTAATCCCAGCACTTTGGGAGCCTGAGGCAGGCAGATCATGAGGTTAGGAGTTTGAGACCAGTCTGACCAACATGGTGAAACCCCGTCTCTATTAAAAATACAAAAATTAGCCAGGCATGGTAACACGTGCCTGTAATCCCAGCTACTTGGGAGGCTGAGGCAGGAGAACTGCTTGAACTTGGGAGGCAGAGGTTGCAGTGAGCTGAGATCATGCCACTGCACTCCAGCCTAAGAACAGGGCGACACTCTTGCAAAAAAAAAAAAAAAAAAAAAAAGAGAGAGAGAGAGAGAGAGAGAATAAATTCACCTAAAACCCTAGACACATAGATAATTGACCACACATTTGGATTACAGCTTTTCACTCTTTATATTTTAAATGTATACTTTATATATTTTTAAATTATATATTTATATAATAATTTCATACAAAATGTCACACTGTGTATAGTTTTCTAGCCTGTTTTTCACTTATCATCATTTTATATCATCAAAGAGTCTTCTACAGCCTTTTCTTCAAAATGAAGGTAGTTGTATTGTATTTTGGTTGTAAAAGTGATAATAGGAAAAAAACCAATGTTTGCTTATATGTGCATAGTCTCTAAAAGTATACACTAGTTGCTGGTCACACTGTTTACCTCTGGAGGGAGCCAGATGGAAGGCAGACACGGATGAGAGAAGGAATTTTTTGTTTTTGTTTTTTGTGTTTTGAGATGGAGTTTTGCCCCTGTTGCCCAGGCTGCAGTGCAATGGCATGATCTCAGCTCACCGCAACCTCCACGTACCGGGTTCAAGCAATTCCTCTGCCTCAGCCTCCCAAGTAGTTGGGATTACAGGTATGCACCACCACGCCTGGCTAATTTTTGTATTTTTAGTAGAAATGGTGTTTCTCCATGTTGGTCAGGCTGGTCTCAAACTCCCGACCTCAGATGATTCGCCTGCCTTGGCCTCCCAAAGTGCTGGGATTACAGGTGTGAGCCACTGTGCCTGGCCAA